GTAGGCAACGGTGTTAATCCTAGCTACAAATGAGGAAACTGAGGTTTATAGGGTTGGTAATTTCCTCAAAGTCACACTGAAAGAAAACGGAGGCATTGACTCTTACTTTAGAGCTCACACTCATAGGTCTGAAGCCATATGTCCCCCAATATTATTCATATTAATATGAATTTTACGTTAATTACTTTCAATATTGATATTAACTTGCTTAATTCTTTGGGGAGTGATGCAGTAGTGGCATCTATTTATTTGGTTAACCTAGCATTTCTAAATCTACTTGCTACCAAATGTTTATGAATTTTAGTGGAGGTAGTGTCCCACAGAATATAGTTCTAGAAATACAGATATAAGCTATAGTCTTACTATAGATGAGGAGCCAGGAGGGGAAGAGCTCTTTAATATTTCTCTGGCCGCTTGTTCCAGCATAACTGTTGGGGTCCTTCCCCAAGCATGTTTCCACCTGGCGATTTGGAATTGACAGGAATAGGAAGTAAACACCTGAAATCCTCGCTGCTGCAGGTGTACAGAGCTCTGGAACGCTTTGCATAAACGTGTAATATTTAGTGCCTCCTGCAAAGGGAACAAGTTTAATTTAGTTAAGCCACAAGGTTGAGTGAAAAACAGCATGTTGCTGTTATTGTTTAGTCAATTAAATTGTCCTCTGTGCTTGTAGGAACTGTTCCACATTTATTACCAGTGAGATACATGCTCTGGCAATTTCTTTGCTTCCGATTGTCTTATATTTAGCACATCTGAAGATTTAAGGACAAATGATGGAAGACATGGTGATAAATTGTCAGGCTTTTCCAAAGATTCAGAAGTTCTAAAGTTCCTGCCAGTGACAGATGGTCTGTCCTTACTCATCGCTTGTCTTCCTGACAGGGCTTGATTCCCCCCCACCTTTTTTGCTCAATTCCTTTAAAATAAGCTCAACTTCTTGGGAGGCAGGGTAGTCTCATTTGTTATAACTATGTGCTTTGTATCAGAGTTGAAGCAACTCTATACGAACATGCCCCATGCTCCTTTACATGACTAATATACACATATCTAGTGATAAGAGAGAAGCGTGGGGTAAGAAGGAGAGGAGGAACAGATTATGAAGGAAAATCCATATTTCCTTTCTGTTATTTTGAGTACCAAACATACAGGAGTCCCCATTGGATGGTTTTTTTCTTGCTGACTTGCCCAAGTATAATGCTGACTGAATAGCTCCAGCATAATATGATCTTTCAAGGAGTGTTTCTTATCATTATGGCAATAAAAATTTTATTATTTTTTAGGATCTTCAATATTTCATAGCAATCTAAAATTTCTTGAAATTTTGTATTAAGAAATACAATTAGTGTTTACTAACTTGCTAGACACTTATAAGAATCCACGGAATGAGAACACACAACTATAACAATAAATGAGCTCAGATATAAAATAGGGTCCTGGTGAAAAAAGGGGAAAAAAAACAATCAATTGCTTAATCTATTTCATTGGCTTCAGATATGTTTACTGCTGAAAAAGGAGATGAGATACTTAGGTAAGGAAGATGGGGAAAGGAAACAATTTTCCCTCTTTGTGTTCTAATGTAACTGTGAAAATAAATCTAAAGGTTTAAAAAATTCTAGGATATCTTATAATCACTTCTTAATATTTCATCCAGAAGTAATTCAGTCCCTCACATTAGTATTGCTGCTAGTCTGATACAGTGTTACTGAGACTGAGGTATATCAGGTGAAAAGGGACTAATATTACTAAAAAAATAGAAAAATTATCAGATGATTTGATTTGGCTTTACAATATCTAGGTGCCTTTTGTTATCCACACAAATTGCTGTGAATTTCTTTTTTATTTAAATATTTTTCTCCTAAGAATATTCAATATGTGTTAGCTCAGTGTGATAATATGTGGAAAGCATAAACCACATTATCGCTCCGTCTTTTCTTTTAACTTGGTTGTAATTTTACTTTTCTGAAGGAGATGCATATATATACAAACTCACATGCTATATGCTAGTATAGGTATAGTAATACATTTTATTTTTATCTGTACAATATATCTGTTCTAGTCATTTAAGTGAAAGAACTCAAAGCCTAGCGGGTTTCCAAAGTCTAGGTTATTGAAGTGCCTGTCATCTTTTATGCCCCTTTGTAAATGCTCCTTCCATTTCCAGATATCAGTTACCATTTTAATTGGTAGCTTTTTCATATCACTTACTTTTAGTGACACTCAATTATTAAAAAATCAGATAACTCATGCCAGCTCATTGTTTATGCATAAAAATGTTAACATAAACCTAAGGAAAGTATATTCCTCCTCAGATGACGAATGGGAGCATTAGCATTTTGTGTACAACATACCAAAAAAAAAGCTTCAGAGTTTCTTTATAACAGGGTGCCACCTTACTACATGGATTTGAGCTGCGTACACCTATTTTGGTATGTAATACAAGGGACAGACATATCCACCTTTTCCTTCTTAAGTACCTTTCTGGCATAATTTGTTTTCCTTCCCCAAAGAATACTGGGCTCATGAAAAAAGGCCTGAATATTCGACATTTGTGAAAAGGCCAACAAATATGGCATGGTTTGGAGACCATGCCTTTATAAAATCACAGGATTTAAAATTACTCTAATGAGCTATTTATTAAAATTTATTAAGGTTAGAAAAAGGTGCATAGCTAAGATTAATAAAAATGCATTACATTAGATAAAATAGGCTGAATTACTCTAACAAGGAGACCCAAAATGTAATGTGTCAAGAGGTTTATTTCTGGGTTAGCACCGTACCACATCAGGTAGTAGGAGAGGAATCGGGTCTGTTCCAAGAATTTAAGCTGTTGTAGTAAATGATTTATTTCCTTATCTGCAGTAATATGCTAATAATCTCTTTCCTTGTTTCAAATTAATACTATGAAATGGCTTATGTATCCATACTCATGAGTGAAATTAAAGACAGGAATGAAAGAAGATAATCTCCCTGCTGACCCTAAGCAAAGGAGGGTGGTAGAATTAATAGAACCATGGCCTTAGACGGGATACTCACCTTTCTCCTCTATGGAAACACAAGACTGAGCCTGTACTTCTACGCTGTGCCATGCTTTTGCCTGAAAGTTTGTTACAGGTCAGAGTGTGAAAAATGAATAGGAAAATGGCCCAGACAAATTATCAGTAAGTTACCACTGCAACCTTTACCTTCTACCTCTTTCATAAGAGCTGTTGTACAAGACAGCTTCTCATTTAAAAAGGTCCACAGGTTAATGGAGGGTTCTAAGAGCCCAGATGTTGCCTAATCTGTCCAAATGGTACAGATTATCGACATGAAGACAATTTAAGCTAAACTGAGCCATCTCCTCACTCTACTGCTGATGTTGTTTCTGTAGGTTCTTTCAATCTATATTTTGGCTTTCATTTTTTTTCATTTTTTTAAGTCATGGGCTTTTTAAAAAAATATATTTCACTCTGTTTAACTGGAGAACTATTTTCTTCATATCAGAATCTCTGGTTTGTATTTCTTTAAATTCTTAGAGTCCCTTCTTATTTTCTAGCACTTTTTATTGCTAATAAATTAGTGATTGATTTGTCTAAGATGATTAAAGAAATATAATCACAAAATTAGAAGTGCTGACCTTAATGGTATAAAGTGATTTCTAAAACTGAAAACTGCCAAAGTCATATTTTCTACATTATTTTGCATATAAATGGAAAATATATATATTTCAAGAAATGATGATAATAATGATATTAAATAAAAATAAATAACATCTTCACTTATATGATAATGTATTATCTATATACTTCAATAAATTCATAGGGATGATGTGATACATATTGAAATAGTACAAAATTTATACCAAAATTAAAAGAAAAAAAACAAAAATACTGAAAGTAACTACATCCTTTCAGAAAACATTGAATCATACAAGAAATGTATTTCCAGTTGGAATTCTCATGATTCAGTGCATCTTTCAACAGTCATTCCTCAGTTGGAAAAAGAATAACCAGCAAAACAATCACCGTATTATAACAACTCCTTGATAGTTATTAGAAAGCATCTTCATTTAAAACCCAATCTGTGGGCATTATTGCTGAAAATATGAGAATAATATTTTATAAAACAGTGTCACCTGTTATATGCCTGTATGCCCCATGGCATGAATCATAAAAACATTCCTTAAAATACGTATAAGATTGGATAGAATGGAAAGTAATACAAAAGCTACCTCTACCATACTGTGCCCCCCCACACACGCCCACACACACTCCATACACACACACGTGTGTGTGACCAAGCTTACATTTGGTAAGATGTAGCCAAGATGTAAGCCAAGAATCATTTAGAATCAATTTATTCAAAGTTAGTCAGTCAATATTGCGACCTATATATTGTTTGTTTTTCCTTTTGCATAAATTGGGTTTATGTAATTAGCAAGCTAAAAGCTACTGAAGTTATCCACCCACAACCTAATGTTAATATAATCTTTATTGCTTTTAGTTTTTATATTCAGACAGTTTTACAATTGGATCTCCTTAGAGAACACAGCACAAAGTGTTTCAGAACACAGAGCAGTTTGCTTTAAGAAAATAGCAAGCATTTACATAGGGAAATAGCAGAAGATAAGAATGTTAGAGCCAGACTGTAGAAATAGAATAGAAAGCCATCAAACTTTACTTGAAATAGGAAATGTGATTTGAACTACCAGTTAAATCATTATGTGGTATTATTTATTTTTTTAGTTGAAACCTATTTTTCTAGGCTTGTGATGAATTTTATTTTCAAACTTAATTAGCAAGTCTACAGTGCATCCACATGTTGAACACAAAAGCTTCTGTGGTGTTCGGCTAACAGTTTTACATCTCTAATTTAATAACAAAGATCTTTCTAACATGTGATATGGATTTTGTTTTTGTTTTTGTTTTTGTTTTTCTCTGCCATTTGCAAGTATATTCATTTGGTTTGGTTTGGTTTTCACTATTAATGCTGACTGATAGCTGGTTTGTTTTCTGTTCTAGGTTGTGGAGACTAATTTGGTTGCTTTTGACTGTCACTGGATCATTATAAATGAGGTAACACCAACTAAACCTTATTGTCAACTCTGGGTCCTGTTTTCATATAGTGAGTCACAGCATTTCCTATGGCCTTGGAATCCTAAGAGGAAATAGAACACAAAGTAAACTTTGAGCTTCCTGACTGGATGCTAACTAAAAATAGAATAAGGAGTTTTAAAAAATTATAAATGACTTTGTATGAATAAGATAAATGGAGATCATCTTCCCACTGAGTATCTTTTAGTCTTTTCCGCTGGCATACACTGATTGCTTCGGGAAATCATCTTTATACAAAGTACAGTTCTTCTTTGTAAGCAAAGTGAATTCCTCCCAGTGGAGTACTTGTGTTCCATTTATATTTTAATGTTGTTTCTAGAACTTTTATATCCACCCCCCTTACAGGAGGATTAAATAGTTCAGCATATGAATATGAATAAAAAATAGATATTTTTTTCTTTTCATGATGAAATACAACTATTTTAAAATCAACCAAGTTGTCAAATGCCTTATGAAAGTTTATTGATTTTTGTAAAAAAAAAAAAATACAAAGATTAAAAATACATTACAACATAAGAACTCAGTGAGATAAATTGTTCCATTCGCACCTACCAATAGGAATTGGAAAGGATAATGAGTAGATCAGTCATGGACAAATAATGAGATGACATGAATTTGTCCTCAACAAGACCTGGTATTCATGTCATATCTATTACTTATGAATAAAAAGAATGCACTATTTATCTGTTAGCTGTGTTACTATGGATATGTGATATAATCACCCTGTGTCATTTGTACAGTAAGTATAATAACATTTACTTTATAAGCTCATTATAAAAATTAAGTGAGATTTTATCTTATACTCTTAACATATGCTGACAAATGACACTCAAAAATGGTAATACAGTAATGATTATATTACACTAAAGTCCACAGATCGGCTTCCCACATGTTAATGTGTTGAATACTAAACATTATTCTATGAAACAATAAGGGAATGAGGTTCATGGAGGGTATATGATTTTACACAGAAAAATAAAAATAATTCAAAGTTTCAAGTTGTGTCTTTTACACATTGGTAGAATTTTGGCACCATTCTTTTTTTTTTAACAATAATTAACATATTATATCATATTAGTTTTAGGTATATAACACAAAGATTATATAAATATGAATTTAGATATATATAAATTTATACATATAAATGTATACACATATTTATGCATATACTTAAAATGACTACCACAATTAGTTACTATATATAACCATACAAAGCTAATCTTTTTTTCTTATGAAGAGAACTTTTAAGATATGCTCTCATAGCAGCTTTCAAATATACAATATGATTTTTACTAACTATAGTCACCATGCTATATATTATGTCTCCATGAATTATTTATTTTATAACTAGAAGTTTGTATTTCTTTTCCTTTTTTAAAAAAAAATATTTATTTGAGATAGAGATAGAAATAGAAACAGGGAGAATGAGTGGGGAGGAGAGGGAGAAGCAGGTTCCCCACTGAGCAGGGAACCTGACACAGGGCTTGATCCCAGGACCCTGGGATCATGACCTGAACTACAGGCAGATGCTAACCAACTGAACCAGCCAGGCACCCGTGAAGTTTGTATTTCTTAATCCCCATTACCCATTCCCCCATCCTAATCCTCCTCTCCTCTGGCTCCCACCAATATGTTCTCTGTGTCTATTAGTTTTACTCAGTTTTGTTTTTTCTTTTTTTTTTTTATTTTTAAGATTTCACATGTAAGTGAAGTCATAAGGTATTTGTCTTTCTCTGAGTTATTTCATTTAGTGTAATACCCTTATGGTTTATTCATGTTGTTGAGAAAGCAAGATTTCATTCTCTTTTAAAGCTGAGTAGAATTCCATTCTGTATGTGTGTGTCTCTGTGTGTGTATGTGTCCATTTATCCATTGATGGACACTTAGTTTGCTTCTATATTATGATTATTGTAAGTAATGCTGTAATAAAATGGGGGGTGCTTATATCTTTTCAAATTAGTGTTTTTGTTTTCTTTCAATAAATATCCAAAAATGGAATTGCTGGATCATATGTTTTTTGTTTTTTTTTAAATTTTTTGAGGAAACAACATACTGTTTTTTATAGGGGCTATACCAATATATATTCCTACCAACACTGTACAAAAGTTCCCTTTTCTCCATATCCTCCCAATTCTTATTATTTCTTATCTTTTTGATAATATCCATTCTAACAGGTATGAGGTCGCAGAGGTGATTTTGATTTGCCTTTCATTGATGATTAGTGATATGGAGCATCTTTTTGTGTGCTTGTTGGCCATCTTTATGTCTACTGTGGAAAAAAGTTTGTTTAGATCCTCTGCCATTTTCAGATTGGTTTTTTGGAATTGAGATGTTCAAGTTCTATATATATATTTATATTTAAATATATATATGTATATATATATATGACTCATGTATTTACTTTGGTGGGGGAGCATGAGTAGGGGGAGGAGTAGAGGGAGAGTATCTTCAAGCAGACTCCCCACTGAGTGCAGACTGGCAATAGGGTTCCATCTCATGACCCATGAGATCATGACCTGAGCTGAAAACAAGAGTCCAACACTTAACTGACTGAGCCACACAGGTGTCCCTCTTTACATATTTTGGATATTAACCCCTTATTAGATATATGATTTGCAAATACCTCCTCCCATTCAAAAGGTTGCTTTTTCATTTTGTTGATGGTTTCCTTCACTGTGCAGAAGTTTTGTTTGTTTTGTTTTGTTTTTGTTTTTAGTTCGAAGTGGTCTTAACTTCTTAATTTTTTGATTTTATTGCCCTAGCCTTGGAGTCAAATCCAAAGTCATGGCCAAGACTTATATCTGAAAACTTTCCATCCTTTTTTCCCTCCCTTCCCCCCACGAGCCCCAGCCCTGCCTCTCAAATTCCTCATATCAGAGAGATCATATGGTAATTGCCTTCTCTGATTGACTTATTTCACTTAACACAATACCCTCTAATTCCATCCACATCATTGTAAATGGCAAAATTTCAGTTTTTTGATGGCTGCATAGTATTCCTTTGTATATATAAATGAAACAAGATGGGACTAGGGAGGGAGAAAAACCATAAGAGACTCAATCTCAGAAAACAAACTGACAGCTGCTGGGGGGTTTGAGGGGAGGGATAGGGTGGTTGGGTTGTGGACATTGGAGACGGTATGTGCTATGGTGAGTGCTGTGAATGGTGTAAGACTGATGATTCACAGACCTGTTGGGGCAAATAATACATTATATGCTAATAAAATAAAATTAAAACAAAAACATAAACAAAAACAAAAAAGAATATAGGTAGTTTCTAAGCTGAAAGATGGATGTATGGGGCTCATTATTTCCCTCTACTTTTATATATTTTCAAAATTTTATAATAAACATTTTTTCTTAAGTAGTTTAAAAAAATTGAAAAAAATATAAGAGCTTTCCAACTTATTTTCTTAGAGGAGCTTAATGGTTTTAGGTCTTCAAATCTTTAACCCATTTTGGGGCGCCTGGGTGGCTCAATGGGTTTAAGCCGCTGCCTTCGGCTCAGGTCATGATCTCAGGGTCCTGGGATCGAGCCCTGCATCGGGCTCTCTGCTCAGCAGGGAGCCTGCTTCCTCCTCTCTCTCTGCCTGCCTCTCTGCCTGCTTATGATCTCTCTGTCAAATAAATAAATAAAATCTTTAAAAAAAAAAAAACAAATCTTTAACCCATTTTAAGTTAATTCTTGTGCATGGTATAAGACTCTAATTTCATTCTTTTGTATGGCTGTCCGATTTTCCCAACACCATTTATTTGGGACTGTCTTGTCTGTTGTATAGTCTTGGCTCTTTGTTCTAAATTAACTGACTGACCTTAAATGCCTGGGTTTCTTTCTGGGCTATCTAATGTGTTCCACTGATCTATGTGTCTGTTTTTATGCAAGTACCACATTGTTTTGACTACTGTTGCTTTGGAATATAGTTTGAAATCGGAAAGTATGATGTCTCCAAGTTTGTTCTTCTTTTCAAGGTTGTTTTGGCTATTCAGGATCCTTTGTGTTTCCATACAAATTTTAGGACTGTTTGTTCTATTTATGTGAAAATGCCATTGGGATTTTGATAGGGATTGCAAGGATTTTATAGATTGCCTTGGGTAATATGGACATTTTAACAATATTAATTCTTCCAGTACATCAGCATGAAATACATTTTCATTTAGTTGTGCTTCTTCAATTTATGTTTTCCATATCTTATAGTTCGGAGTATACAGGTCTTTCACTTCCACAGTTAAATTTGTTTCTCGATATTTCATTCTTTTTAAGCAGTTGTGAGTGGGATTGTTTTCTTAATTTCTCTTTCTGTTTTTGCAGCAACCCATAGATTTTGGTATGTTACAGTTCCATTTTCATTTGTTCATTCCCGCATATGTAACAAGTTCTTTTTCTCTGTTTTTTTTTAAGATTCTCTTATTAGCTTTATGTTTTGAAATTTAATTATAAGTTGTCGTGGTGTGGCTGTCTTTGAGTTCCTCTTCTTTTTTGACTTTCTGGACTAATTGGATCTGAATGTCTATTTCCTGCCCCAGGTTAGGGAAGTATTCAGCCATTATTTCTTCAAATAAGTTTTTTTATCCCTTTCTTACTCTTCTCCTTTTGGGCCTTCTCTGATGCAAATTTGTTCAGTTTGATTTTGTTTTATAGGTTCCTTAAGTTATCTTTGGTTTTTGATTAGTTTTCTTTTTGCTGCTCTGACTGCATGAGTTCTACTGCCTTATCTTCAGGATAACTGATCCTTTCTTCTGCTTCATCTAGTGTGCTGTTGAAGCTTTCCAGTGTATTCTTCAGTTGAATTATTGTGTTCTTCAGCTCTATGACTTCTGTTGGTATTTTCTTATATTTTTTATCTCTCTTTGAAGTTCTCAGTTTTTATTTATCTTCTTCTGCGTTTGGTGAGCATCTTTATGACCATCACTTTGAACTCTTTATCAAGTAAATTAAATATCTCTGTTTCATCAAGGTTTTTT